GCCAATTGTTTTTAAGCAGAGCACACCATTGATCAATGGATTTATTCCAGATTCCAGATACCTTCAGATTTGGAATTACCAAGTACTTTGGGCAAACTATCCTTGGAGGACCTTTCCATGCCATCATGTAAGTTTATTTTTTAGTGGTTGGCTTGCTGTTAAATGTTACTGCAGAAAAAAAAAAAAACCTGCACATATTCTGTTCTTCATTGTTGTTTCTTTCTCTACAGCATTGTGTATGCCTGCATGATTCTGCTGACCATGGTGATGCGCCTCACTAGCACCAATGGAGAAGTTGTACCAATGTCTCTGGCTCTGGTGCTTGGCTGGTGCAATATTATGTACTTTGCACGAGGATTTCAGATGCTTGGGCCCTTTACCATCATGATACAAAAAGTAAGCGATTGTCTACAAAAGATGATGTTCTTAGATGAAGAAGGATATGCTGATGCACTGATTCTGGCAATATTTTTTCATCACAAATCAGAAGGTGATAGAATCATAGAATTATAGGGCTGGAAGGGGCTTTGGAAGTTTTCTAGTTCAGCCTCCTACCTAAGACAGGAGTCCTTATACCACCCTCTATGAGTATTATAAAGATTATCTATCTATCTATCTATCTATCTATCTATCTATCTATCTATCTATCTATCTATCTATCATCTATCTATCTATCTATCTATCTATCTATCTATCTATCTATCTATCATCTCTTTAGCTATCACCAGCTTCTGATCTAAGTTTCAGTCTTCATTTAACAAGTGAGAAATATGTGAATATCTATCTTGGAATTCTCTCCCAGGCCCTCATCTGTAGATTGTGTTTAGGTTTATCCCAGCTCTCGCCAGCTTAATCTGTCATCCTCTATTCAACAGTAAGGAAAAATAGGACTCTTCTCTCCATATCTTTGCAGCTATTCTTTGGATCTAGCAAGGAGAGTGAGATGTACTGATATTTTTCATATATTCAAATATTTCTGAATTTCTAACTGGAACAGTTATATGAAATACCAATCACTTCTAATATCATTAATTGTACAGCTTCCCTTTAAAAAACTTCCTGAAACTAACTTTCTCCTTTAAGTAAGCTTTCTCTCACTCAGTATTCAGTCTATCATCTACTGTCAATCATTCATTCATTTCTCTTCTATTGCAAAGGAGGATGCATTTCCGTCTTCAAGGAAGCTCTCCACTTCTTGGAATCTTGACTGTTCTGCAATTCTCTCTCCCACTGCTCCCCATCCTTTTAGAATGGGAGTAGAAAGGAGATAGCAGAGGTAAAGGGACTTCATAGTTTTGAATATTCTAGGGCCCTTTCAGAAGTTTGTGTTTGTCTATGTTGAATACTTAAAGGGCACAGTTCATTTTCATTGTGAATTTAGATTGCTTGGCTGTTTTCTTTCTACCCTGATTGGTAATAAATTCAAGACAGACAGAAGCAAATATTGAGCAGCTGGAGTTCAGTAGTTCAGTAGAAAAGTGCAGTAAAATAAATGTTACAGTAATGGCCACCAGCCTAAATGGCACTGAAAAAGAATTTGATAAATACTTTGACAAGGTAAAGGGAACGAAAAGCTGTTCAAATCTGCTAACCATAATGGCTTTATAAAATCCTAATACAAATAAAAGAGGCAAATGTGTGAACTGTTTCCATCTTCATATGCTTTCCTGTAGCAACTTGAAACAGGAGCAATCCATAAAATGAGAATATACCAGAAAAGTCCTGCAAGCAAAAAGATAGAACCGAGGCAGACAAAACTCAGCAGAGATACAGATTGAGTGAAAATTTCTGAAAATTTGTATTGAAGAACAGCTGGGATTTGATTGACGGAAAATGTCAAAATTGTCTAAAACAAATAATTAAAATGCCACAGCGAAGATAATCCTGTTTCCTCATTCCATTACTGAACTTCCATATATCAGGGCTATTTTATAGGGCTTCAGTTTCACTACTAAACATGTTCATGTTGAAATGGCTGTTTCCAAAATTCTGATTTCTAAACTAAGGTTTGAGGTCAGGATGACCTTTTCCTGGGACCCTTCAGATGGGTTAGATTTCAGCAGCCACAATTCCTAAGTAGCATGGCCTTTAGAAGCAAATAGATACGGATCCCTTGAAGTTGGAATGGGACTGGAATGATACAGTTTAATCCAGAGCATCTTGATCTTGATCTAGAATGCTGTTCCTTGGGTATAGTTTTGTGAGAGGGAAAAGCTGCTTAGTCACTGTATGTTTTTTTCCCTAGATGATATTTGGAGACCTCCTCCGTTTCTGCTGGCTCATGGCCGTGGTCATCCTTGGGTTTGCATCTGGTAGGTGACATATTCTAGACCACATTCTTGTGAGCTTGACTTACAAAGCAAAGTGTAGCACTTCAGAATGGGAATATTAAAAAAATTCCTTCCTCTTGGCTATAGGATATCTTCTGTTGTTGCCATATCTTTGACTTTTCCTTTTGTTTTTATGCTATCAACTAATAATAATATGAAGTTTATATATAAATAGTATAATGTCATCTTGAAATTAATAGTTATTATAATAATGGAAAAAAGAGGGAGCCTCTCACCATTTTATATTGGATTGCAATATGTTTATCTGATTGGGTTCTATATTCTGTAAAAATTTCCTAAGGCTGGAACTGGTTCCTTGCTATGCTGTGAAAATATTTTCTTCTTGCAGTCTCTATCTTCTTTTTCTCTGTGTTGTCAGATAATAAACTATTTAATTTATTGCTTAAGGTGATAGCTTCATGAGTCTGATAAAATAAGTTATGATTAATGGAAGTGAATGGCAGAGTAATTGATTAGACATCAACCTGCCATAAGACTCATAGATTTTACTGCAACAGATTACCATTGCCTATCTTAAGCTGGCTGGATATTTAACCTTTCTTGTGCCGCTTATCCTAATGTATCAATTCACAAAATGGAATCTAAAGTGTTTTTGCATTTTTGTCACCTAATTCAGTGCCACAAAGATATGTGGTATTTCATAAAACTGTAATACTAGGAATCCCTCAATGTCATTTTTAATTTTTTTTAAAAAAATAATTGTATTATTTTTTTAAGAATATAAAAATTTACAAATTTCAATAAGTTTATACATTTTAATAATTACATGTTCTTTTATACACAGTTCTATCTCAATCTTAGAATGTTTAAAACCATACAGTTTTTCAATATTTTTCAATATTTCTAGTAATTGCAAATAGGAGGAAAGTTGACCATTATAAACCTTTGCTACCAGTTATTCTCTTGATTTTATTCTGAATGTTCTTTGACAAAATTCTGTTTTTTCACAATAAGTGAACCATTTGTTTTTCCCCTATCATTTCCTCCTGTAATGTCCTTCTTTTGCTGAACGCCACAAGGGTATTTTGGGGCACAACCTGGGTTTGTATCTATGTTCTTAAATGTAGCATGTCTAGCATAATGGTTTTTTAAAATCCAAATTGACCTTGATTTTGTCCATGCCACTCAAATCTCAAGTCATGTTCTCTTAACTTTAAAAGTCTTCTATTTCTCAAAAAAAACAAAAACCCATCTATTCTTTCATCCAAACCAAATAGCAAGCTCTAAAACACAGTTTCAAATCTGATAAACATGGCCCTCCTCTTTCCTTTGTGTCTTGTAGCACCTTATATTTAACTTGTATTTTTCCTCTGCCACATAAATTTAAATATTCCTTTTGCCACTTTTTAAATGGTTCATCTGTCAAAAGAGTTTTTGAATGAAACAAAAAGTATCATTCTAGGTAGAATATTCATTTTTTGTTGCATACATTCTCCCCAGGAATGACAATTGTAATTTCTCCCATTGTAGAATAACTTTTAAGTTAATTTCAAAAGCTATGTTGAAATAACATAGTTCATATTTGACATGTTACCCAAATATTAACCTACTTCTCAGAGTTAAAACCTGTTCATCAATTTTGTTTGAGCTTCTATTTTATTTTTCATTAACATGTTCAGTTTTTTAAATTAATCTTAAAATCTGTCAATGCACCGATTTTTTTAAAAATGTACCCAATAATAGTTCAATTTTCTTTAAAGCATCTTCCAGAAGCAATACCAAGTCATCTGAAAAATTCTTTACTTACAAGTTTCTTTTTTTAAAACATTTATTCTCAAAATCTTCACATCTTTTCTTATCTCGGTTCCTTATTTCCTTATTCAATATTTCTAGAACTAAAATAAACAAGAGAGGGAAGAGTGGGCATCCCTGCCTTGTTCATTTTTGTACTTTACATGACTTTTTTTTCTTTTGTTAGATTTTCATCAACAACGATTATTTGTACTTTCTATGAAGTATAGATCTATCTTATCCATTTTATAAAGGACTTTCTAAAATTTGTATCTTCCAGATACTTAGATAAGGAAGCTCAGGTCAAATTGTCAAAAGCCTTTTCAGCTTGTTTTGCATTATGTTGCCCAAGAATCCCAAAATGCCCGGTGCATTGATCTTTAATTGCCTTTTAGATAAAACCTGACATTGATCCTCATGAATACATTTTTGCAAAATTATTTCCACTCTATCAGTCCATCTTTATGAACAACTTATAGCTATTGCCCTATGATTTCTTGTTAAAGCCAAATCTTCTCCCTCTTAATGTGACATATTGACCTCTTTCTAATTATTTGGCATTTTTCTTCCTCCTTCTTCAGACTTTTCTTTTGTATTTTTTTCACTTTTCCCTTAAAAATTGACAGCACTTTTTTTTTCTCCTCAATTTTTCTCCAATCAAATTATTACTATACTAATTTTTAAAGACCATTCTAGCATTCTAGATCTGGATATATGTAGATTTGATTATTATCCTCAATCGTACATCATGCACAATAGAATACATACATGTGCATGAATGAACAAATTTAAAAGCCACATGTTGTTCTATGAATTGAATTAATTGTGTTTTGTAAAAGACTGTAAAAGTTCATCCTCAAAACTTTTATAATAAGAGCCTGATAATGCATCTGGTTTAGGCCCTTTTCTTAGTTTAATCATTTTTGTAGCCTCAGAAACTTCCCTTATTACTATAGGTCAATTCATAATCTTGTGTCTATTCCCCTGTAATCATCAGTAAATTTTGTTTCCTTAGATATTCATCTATTTTCTCTAGAGAGATGTCACTTCTTTTATATAAATTAAAATAATATTGATGAAATACTTTTGTATGGCCACATTGACCATTCATACCTCTTGTAATTTAAATATCATTTTCTTTTTGTAATTTATATGCTAACCACTGCTTTATTTGCAAACACATTTTTATTTTTTTGCATAATTCATTTTTATTTCCTTTTCTCTTACTGTTAACATAGATAATTGTTGTTGTAGAAGCTTAATTTGCTGAGAAACATTTATCTTCTCTGGAGAATTCTTTAATTCTTCTTTTCTCTTTATCTCATCTAAAATAATGTGTATTTTATCTTGACTTTTCTTTTTAAGTTTGTTATTATATCGTATAAAATGACCTCTAATAAACACTTTGCGAGAACCTGTTTAGTCTAATGATTAAGGCAGCAGCTAGAAACTGGGAGTTGTCCTGCTTTAGACTCAAAGCTGGGTGACCCTGGGCCTGTCACTTTCTTTCAGCCCTAGGAAGGGGATAATGGCCAAACCATTTCTGAAAATACTGTGCCAAGAAAACTGCATGCACTTGTCCAGGAAGTCCCCAAGTTTGAACACAATTGAACAGAAGAAACAATAAAAATAAATGCTTTATTCACATACCAAACCATTGTTAAATCAATCATTTCCAGGTACCCCTGATGCTTACCACATGTTACAACCTTACAATATAAGCATTCTCTGTGTTAAAATTTCTAAAAGCTTCCTCTTCATCAGATTGAAAAAACCAGTGCATATAAAAATGATTTGAAGAGTGAACAAATGGTGTCTCTCTGTCTCGTTAGCAGCATTTCCAAGTGTTACTCCTTCTTCCTGTTATTCTCAAGAAATTAATTGTTGTAAAAAGAAACCAGTGAGAATTGTCATTGGTTCAGTCTGGAAAAGATTATCTGACTGTTTATCTACTATCTAGCTATATCTATCACAGTTATATCATGCACTCTTGACAGTCTAGTCCAGTCAATCCAGTCCAGTCCATGCAACAGGAGACTAACAACCAAGGCCGACTGAACAATGCAGCTACACAATGATATTGAGAGCAGACAAAAATTCACACATGGCAAACGTTCAACAAGGGAACATCTTCTAATTAGAAACTGAACTCATGACCTTTTGTTTTCTTTGGCAGCATTTTACATCATCTTCCAAACAGAGGACCCCGACGAACTGGGCCATTTTTATAGCTATCCCATGGCACTCTACAGCACATTTCAGCTGTTTCTCACCATCATTGATGGACCTGCCAACTATGAGGTGGACTTGCCTTTTATGTACGGCATCACTTATTCTGCTTTTGCTATTATTGCGGCCCTTCTTATGCTCAACCTTCTTATTGCCATGATGGGGGATACTCACTGGCGTGTGGCCCATGAACGGGATGAACTTTGGAGAGCACAGGTGAGGGACGGCATTTTTACCTATTAACTGATTGTACATGATGGAGCAGACTGGGGAGGAGACCTGAATAGATTATTCTCTTTAGGTTAATTTCTATCTAATGAAAGCAAGTAGAAAAGAAGTTCAGAAAACAGTGCTTGTGTCCATTTAACAAAAATCTGCACCAAGGGGGAATCTTCTCATGATAATATTGAAATGAAAGTGTGTTCAGTATCCTTTCTGAATTAGATTTGGAATTACATTGTGATTCCAGGATCCCAAACAGATCAGTGACTCTTTTCAACTGTATGTTTATTATTGGGAAAACAGCATTTCAATAATCATACCTGTTTTAAGTGTATATAATTGAATGGGGGGAAAAGTAAAACTTGGTTTTTTAAAAGATAAATATGTGCTTTCCAGATTTGTTCACTCATACACATGTACGTATTTTATGCATTATGCATACCTGCAGATAAGAATCATATCTACATAAATCCAGACCAATGGATGCTGGGATAGTTTAAAAAAATTAGTACAGCAATAATCGGATCAGAGAAAAATTGAGGAGAAAAAAAAGTCCTGTCAACTTTTAAGGGAAATGTGGAAAAAAAAATTGCCAAAGCAAGGAGGAAGAACGAATAAAGAAAATCTATTCTGAGCCTGCTTGTCCCCATCAGAGTGGACAATATTTAGATCATTTCCTAAATTTGTAGCTATGGGATATGCTGCAATTCATGAAAGTACATTGCATATTGGCACTAAGAGACTCCAAAACCTGCTTTAGGAATATTACCCTGTTGTGAACTAAAGAAATGTATTTAATAAAGATTCATTTGCATAGCAGGATCGTAATCCTGCACTTCCTATTGGCCCATATAATGGCAAGTTATGATTGGTTCATTCCGAGCAATCTGATTGGCTGTTGGCGGGCCGCGCCAAGATTCAAACGCTATAACGCTATCCATTGGTTATCCGGATAGCAGCTTACTCTATAAAAGAGTGACTGCTAGCCGGGGGTTTTTTGTCTCTGCTATGCTTGTGAATAAAGAGCTGAAGTTCACGGTTTACAGTCTGGTCTCCGTTCATTAAACCCATGCCTCAAACTTAACATACCCAAAGTTATATGGACATTTGAGTGTTATGTAGAAGTTAAGGGCAACAAAGAACCCCATAAACTTCTGCAGGATAAATAAACAATGAAAAGCTACATGGAATCCTTTCCACGTACAGTTCTGGAAGCATCAGGCCTGGATGAACAATGTCTCCAAATATTGTTTAATATGGCCATCAAATATTCATACTCCTCCAGAGCAATGATGGTATTCAAATTTTTTACTACTGGTTCTGTGGGCGTGGCTTAGTGGGCATGGTGTGGCTTGGTGGGTGTGGCAGGGGAAGAATACTGCAAAATCTCCATTCCCGCACCACTCCAGAGGAAGGATACTATAAAATCCCCATTCTCTCCCCACCCCACTAACCTGCTTTCCAACTCTATTCTCCTATGAGGGCAACAAAAGAAGACCCAGCCGATCATCTGGGACTCAGGAGGCAGAGAATAGATGGGGGCGGGGCCAGTCAGTGATGGTACTCCGAACTACTCAAAATGTCCTCTATCGGTTCTCCGAACTACTCAAAATTTCCTCTACCGGTTCTCCAGAACTGGTCAGAACCAGCTGAATAACACCTCTGCTCCATAGGATTTACAAAATGGAAAATCATGTTATTCTTTAGTCTGTGTTACATTCTTCAACTATTGCAAAAGAGGAAGGTTCCAGATATGATAGTAGTGGAGTCATTTGACTTAATTAAAACATTTTGATTACCCAATTTTTAAAATTGTGTGTTTCAGGTTGTTTCCACTACCATTATGCTAGAGCGCAAACTCCCACAATGTCTCTGGCCTCGCTTAGGCATCTGTGGAAAGGAATATGGGCTAGGTAACCAGAGATATCTGAGGTAAGTTTCATAATCAGTAATTTGTGTACATCTTCTGTGATAAAAAGGAGATTATGTGTGTGGATTAGTTACTATTTAAACTAATGTCTATTTACTTAACGAACCCATAGCATCAATAAATTGATATTTAGGATATATGGGAAAGCGTAAACACAGCACAAATAGATGGACAAGTGGCAGAATTAAGAAGCAAGACAGATGATAGAACTACAAAAGCTACAGAAATAGTCATCGAAAGCTGGACCTAGGAAGGAACAGTCTCAACACCAGCTTTCTGTCCCAACAAAACAAGTGATAAATACTAACACTTCTCTTAATATGTGGGTTTACCATTGTCATTGTCTGTGTGTAGACAATGGCAATGATGTTGATAATGATTGATGATAGATAGATAGGATAAATGAGAGAGGGGGCAGGTAGACAGACTGATACATATGATTATGATCATGACATTAAAGTACTTATTCCCTGTTCCTCTCCTCCCCGTTGTAATTATTGCAAAGATATATTCATGGGAAAAGGTTTATGTTTTCAGGACAGGATCTAAACTGGAGCTCTTATATTTTCAAATGCAGAAGTTGCTCAAATGAGCATAAAGCCATAAACATGGCATAAAGGTTGCCAGATTTACAACGCACACAGCACATGTCACAGTAAGACACTTGATAGGATGTGTGATGACTGTATCTCTGCTATTCCATATTGTTTTAGCTCAAATCGATCAAAAATATTTAGGCTGCAAATCCCAGAGCCAAACAGCAGTTGGAGCATCAATAGAACATAGGATATTAAAAACTGTTTTAACTACATTGCAATGTTTATATTTATCACAACAAATCTCTTAGCATACTAAAATTACCACTTTTCAGCATTTTTATAATTAGAAGCCTCCTTTTCTTTCCTTTTCTTCTTGGACACTAACATTTATAGTATTTATTTTAATTCCATTGTTCAAAGTATGTCTAATATTCCCATGAAATCCCTAAACTACCCCTTCCAATATTCTCTCATTTTAGATTGATCCCAAATGATCTCATCACATTTATTCTTAATTCTACTCATTCTTCTAGAGGTGTCTTATTCAGTCCTTTTCTCTCACTTCCAAAACAATTTTCTATTCCCATTATCTTTCTCATTTTTTAAATGCCTTTACATTTTAACCACTTCTTGCTCTCTTTGACTGGATTCTTTTCTCTATCAGTACATTATACAGTATATAATGGTCACTCCTGGTCACTTCCTGTCTTGCAACGCACTCTACATGGGGCTGTCCTTGAAGAGCATCCGGAAGCTCCAGTTGGTGCAAAAGGCAACACCCCGCATGGTTTTATGCAGACCCCGGTGTGCACATGTATCACCTCTCCTGCAGGAGCTGCATTGGCTGCCAATTTGCTTCCGGGTGCAATTCAAGGTGCTGTTTGCCACCTTTAAAGCTCTTCATGGCTTGGGTCCGGGTTATCTGTGGAAACATCTCTTGCCAGTGACTTCTACCCGACCCATTAGAGCAAGGAGACAGGGAATGTTGTGGGTCCCACCCCTGAGGGAGATATACCTGGTGGGACCTAGAAGAAGGGCCTTCTCTGTGGTGGCTCCATCTCTCTGGAACATCATTCCCCCAGAGATTAGAATGGCCCCCTCGTTAATACTATTCTGAAAGGCACTGAAGACCTGGTTTTGCTAGCGGGCCTGGGGAACCCAGAGAGGGATGGAACCCATCAAATGGCTAGTGTGACCCGCTGTCGTCGGGGTGGGGGGATGGGAGTTGGTTTTTGTTTTTGTTTTGTTTTGTTTGTTTTCACAAATTTTGTTCTATTGTACTTTACTAATTTATTTGATTCTTTTTGTTAGTTCTTATTCTTTTTGTTTTTATTTTTTGTTTTAACTATGATTTTACATTGTGTAAGCCACCTTGAGTCGGCTGGGCGAATAGGCGGCAATATAAATCAAATAAATTAAATAAATAAATATGCAAATATGCAATATACAGGTAGTTCTTGACTTGATTTAGTAGCCGTTCAAAGTTACAACGGCACTGAAAAATGTGGCTTGTGACCATTTTTCATAGTTACAACCTTTGCAGTACACGAAGTACAAAAAATGATGGTCGTATGATCAAAATTCAGATGCTTGGTTCATACTTATGACTTTTTCTATGTCCTGGGGTCATGTGATCACTTTTTCCGACCTTCTGACAAGTAAAGTCAATGGGGAAACCAGATTCACTTAACAACCAGGTTACTAATCTATCAATTGCAGTGATTCACTAACAACTGTAGCAAGAAAAGTTGTAAAATAGGGCACAACTCACTTAACAAATGTCTCAGAACAACATAAATTTTGGGATCAATTGTGGTCGTAAGTCAAGAACTACCCATATCATCCCATTCTTTGGCAGCAATCCCTCTTCTAAATGCATTTTTTATCCATAATCTCCTTCATTTCATGATTATGCCAAGCATCTTGTTTTGTAGCCTAATTCCACATATTTCACTAGTATTTTGTAGCATAATTCTTTTCATTCTGTGCCAGTCAAATTCCACATCATCTTTATTGAGAAAGAATTCCTTTGGGTTCTATTGACTCCTGGCAATTGCCTGAATTAGTCCCTGCAGTTTTTTGGGCAATGTTTTGGGGAGTGATTTACTCTTGTTGCTTCCTAGGGCTGAGAGAAACTGACCGCCCAAGGTCACCTAGTTGGCTTTATGCTTAAGATGGGACTAGAACTCACCGTTTCTGGTTTCTAGCCCAGGAGCCAGAGGTGGTATTCAGCAGGTTCTGACCACTCCTGGAGAACCGGTAGAGGAAATTTTGAGTAGTTTGGAGAACCGGCCAATATCACCTCTGACTGGCCCCACCCCCATCTATTCTCTGCCTCCCGAGTCCCAGCTGATTGGCTGGGTCTTCTTTTGTTGCCCTGCACAGGAGAATGGAGCTGGAAAGCAGGTTATTGGGGTGGGCAAGGAATGGAGATTTTACAGTACCCTTCGCCTGCCACACCCACCAAGCCACGCCCACCAAGCCATGCCCACAAAACCAGTAGTAAAAAAATTTGAATCCCACCAGTGCCAGGAGCTCAACTACTACACCAAGCTGGCTCTCCATATGGGAGTTATATATGTGTATATTGGATTTAGCAGCAAAATTGTGCCCTGTTGTGATATGGTACTGGAAATGCTTAGCTAGCTGTTTATTTTGTATGAATGACATGGTGCCTTCAGCTAAATCATAACACTGACTGAATTCCCAAATTCAAAACAATCCAAACCTGGCAAAATTGAATGCCCTTCCAACTGTTGTCTTTGAAGGGAAATTATGGAGTCTTCCACTTTAAAAAAAAACTTTGTTCTTAAGTTCCTGAAACATATTTGCTAGAATACAATTATAAAGGTGCTCAGTTGTAGCTAATAACTCTCCATCTAGATAGATTTCCAGGAGACTCAAATGTATTTCATTTATAATTATTACCATCTGATCAGTGTGATTTTTGTTTCTCTGGGTGTGAGTGTGTTTTATTTTCTTATTTATAAAACACAGCATATCAACATTATATAAATATAAAACATATATTTATTAAGTTTTAACATAGTTTTTACTTGCTGTTTTGCAATTTTTTTGTGTTGTTGTTTCTGAATTGGTCAATGACTATAATCAATTCTACTTCCATTAAATTGAATATCTAGTTTACTGGTGAAATTGTGTCTCTTCTAAAAACAGAATCATGTTTTTTATGTTTAAACTGAAAGATAAAATATGTGTTAAAAACAACATATGGAACATTTCTCTCTTCAAATCCACAATATCATTGCCAATTTCTAATAAAAATAATAAGGATTATGCTCAAGAGATTCTCTAACACCAAGTATTTAGCAATTTTTGTAATGTTGAATACAGATTGATTTTTTTTTTTTTTGTCAAAAAAAATGGGGTGACTCAACTTTTGACTCCACATTTGCTCATGTCTGTTCTCTTCCACTGTTTTCCATTGTTACTGCTTATTCTCTGGACATTTCTCTCTCTATTTCATTCCTCCTGTCCTCCCTGGATGGGAAGATTATGTATTAAATATGACTACACTGTAATGTTTTGGCAATCATTTAGGTATTGTATTTATATAGGTTCATATGCTGTTCAACCTTCCAAGCTGGGCCCCCTTCTGAACTCACAAAATTCCCCAGAAAGAATTGCTATTTTTGAGAATTCTGGAAATTGATATACCCACCTAGATTTTTGTGCATCTGATATGTTCTTAAACACACATGCAGAGGTGGGCTGCTCAGGGTTCAAAGGGGTTCAGGAGAGCCCCCTGGCTAAGATTCTGTGCAATTTGGAGAACCCACAAATCCCACTCCTGGCTGGCCCCACCCACCCCACCCCACCCCTCCTAGGAGTCACCACGTGGCCCATTTTGGATGCAGGTAAGTGCAGAGTGCACACGTAGGCTCAGGGAGGGCAAAAAATGGGCCTCCCAGAAATTTGGGAAAGCCAGGAATGGGCCTGTTTCCAGCTTCCAGAGAGCCTCTGGAGCCCAGGGAAGCCATTTTCGCCCTCCCGGAGGCTCAAGGAAAGCCTCTGGAGCCCAGGGAGGGAAAAAATGCCCCCCACCATGGTGCAGGAGGCTGACTAGGCCACATCTACCATGACCACACCCACCCAGCAACTTGGCAGAGAACCCATTGCTAAAAATTTTGAAGCCCACCCCTGCACACGTGTATATGATTAAAAGAAGTAATTTTCCAATCATATATTCAGAGACAGCATTAAAATTCTCCTTTACAAGTTTAGAAAATTCCTTCAACATTGGAGGTTAATAATTTAGGAGAATTAAGATTTCATGCAACTATTAAATTATGATGACTGGGTCTTACCAAACTGGATTATGACATCAGTTTCTAACATCCATTATGTTTCAAGCAATATTAAAATATTTTTCTTAAAACGTAGTTCAGGAGAAATGGAGATTTCTATAAGCTAGTTATTTTCATTTTTAAAAAAACTTGTTT